AGCGCGATGCAGAATCGTCGTCTGCAGGGAGGGGAGGGGGGGGTCTGTTGCGAGTAAGGAAGGGACGAACAGCACATCTGGCTGGGTGGTCGCCGTTTGGTGGGCTTCTTCTTCTCTGACAACCCTTGCGGGTTCGCCGGTACAGAGAGCAAGGCAGCCAACCTCTGTGTATGCCCTGATTTGTTTTTGTTTGGTTTCGGCTCGTGTGGGCGATGACGTCATGGGTAGTAAGGTTGGGATTCACGGAACGCCGGAGGGGGGGGACGCTCGGTAGCCTCTCCCGGTCTTTATGACTCAAAGGCTACACGTGTCTGCAGCTGCTGCGGTTGCTAATGGTGCGTTAGATCGGCGACTCTGTTGAGTGGTCCGTTTGGTCGAGAGGCAAGAGGGGTATGCAGACAAGGCGAATGCTTTCACGCAAATACCGTGCTCGTGGTTTCACGCAGCACGTGCGTGCGTGCGGGCGTTTGCTTTCGGCCAAGATGAGCGTGGTTTTCGTTTTCTTTGCTCGTCGAGAGAAAGACGGCAGCTGGTACAAAAGGGGTCGTGTACGACTAGGCGAAGAAAGGGGCGAAGACGAACTTGTTGAAGTCATCACGCCATCCGTTCGTTCGTTCGCTATGTCTGTTGTGGGAGGGACCATGGTGACCAACATAGTTGATATACCATATGGTGTGTTCTAGACTGTTTTTGTTTGTTTTTGTTTTGCTTGTCTTTGCTGGGATGCCCACGCCACACCCGAGAGAGAGAGAGAGAGAGATGATCCCCTACCTTCCCTGTGGGCCGGACTGGACTAGCTGCTGCTCAAGACAAAGGCGGCAAGGGGCGGCCTGCCTACCGCGACCGTCGATTCTGCGGGCCCCCTTTGACCCGGAACGCACTCCCCCGCTGCTTGTTCAGCAGCGGGAGAGAGGGGGCACCGTGATATCGTCATGATGCGCGGTGTGCCCTTGTCGTCGTTCTGCCTTCTTCTCGTTTGTTTGTGCCGCCACCATCAGGCTTTGCGCCGCTGCCCCCCCCCGGCCCCCCCGACCCTGAACGGACGGGGAATGGGTGGAGGTGCAAGGACGATCCGGCGCGCGGTGTTCGCTGTTACAGGTGCTTTTGTCCTCTCTCTTTCGCCCTCGTTTTCCCCTTGTCCGCCTTCTGCCCCGACCCCGCGGTTGGCATGCTTTTGTCTCTCTGTCTCCCCTGTCGCGCGTGTTCCCTGTTCCCCCGCTGCCCGACCCCGCGCTACGCTTGTGCTCCGCTTCCTCTTTTTTTTTTTCTCGCAGGTGGCAGGTGGGGGTCTCAATCTCTCGGTGTGTGTGGGTTTCCTGTGTAGCGCTTTTTTTTTTTTTTTTTCAGCCTTGGCGTTGATTCTTTCCCGTCGTGGAGGGCGTTTGCTTGGAAGCGGTCACGACCCGGTTATCTATGGCGCTGGACCAGGATCAGAGTCCCCCCCATGCCCGAACGTAGCCGCTTTCCTAGACGATACCGTACGCAACTGGGAAGCGGGGGAGTGCAGGAGGCAGGGAACAGGGAGCACGAGTTTCCATTGGTACGGAAGAGTTTCCCGGTGTCCTCGTGGGACTTGGGGTTGCGAGAGTGCCCGCTGTTTTTTTTTTGTGGTCGTTCGTGCGCTCACGTTGGTGTGTTGAAGACGAATGAGTTTGTGTCTCGAAGGCGATGAGAATGGCATGCATGTGCGACGCGTTGGCGCAGGCTGATTCCGTGCGGGATGACGTTTGCACCTCGGTCTCCCGTTTACGAAGCACCGAGGCCATTGCGGGACGTGATGTGTTTGCCACCTCGATAGCTCGGATACGAACAGACGGAGCAGGTGCTCTCGGCTGGTGTGCGTGTTTAGCGTTTAACGCGGCCTCACCGCCACAGACATGCAACGCTTGGTCGTCGCTTTAGACCACGCTGACGACACAAGCTTGATACGAGCATTGTGCAGTCTAGTGAGACGTTTGGGTTGATGACGGTTCGTGCAATGATAGCGGCAGGGTTGATGGTCTCTTTGGGCTGTGTACGTAGGCCGCCAAACCCTTCCCTTCCGCGCAAGTGAGGCTAGCATAGGGTTAGGGTTGGGACAAAGTCTGGAGTATGGGGGGTTCCGGCTACCTACCACAAGAGGGGGTCGGTAGCCTGTGCACCGCTTTTTTTGCCCGATGTTGTTTTCGACGTGGGGATTGGGGTCGGTTTCGCGAAGTTGCTCGTGAGTTACGTTTCGTCCTGAGGGTCAACCGCATCTCTTTTCCCTTCGGGGAAGGAGGCGAGTGTCTTCCGGGGGGTGACCTGTGTCATGTGCCATGTCCGTGCAGTTTTGACACACATGTATGGCCAAGGAAGGGGGGTGGGGAGGGGTGCGTAAGCGACGAGGGAGCATGCTCTCTCGCCTTTAGGTCGATTCATTTCAGTCTTTCTTTTTGGCGGTCGATCGTGCTTGTCGCGGCAGCAGTGTCAGCGTTGCCTGTCCACGCCGATGATTTTTTGCAGAACGCGCCACTCTACATGCAGTTGTTGGTACTTGAGGTTAGATTCAACCTCCTCGTATCGAAGCATGAAGAAATCGAGCCCCGCCCTTTGAAGGGATTAGAAGCGAGCCTCGGGCAAGCAGAAATAAGTGGATTCGTTCTTTATTTGAGTGGCGGTGGGTTCGTGTTGGCGGCATTGCTAGAAGATCTTGTTGGAACCAACGGCAGACATTGGCGTGGCGTTGTGCCGGGACCACTACTTGATTGTGATGCCGTTGTGTCGCGCACGCCAGTTGAAAAAAAGGACATACATCTTGGTGGCAATCATGACAGAACAGAAGAGTGGATCACTTGCATTAGTCGTCGTACGCGTGGGAAGGTATTGGGTGGAGCAGTCAAGAAGGTTGTTCTAAATCCGGCCGCTTTCCACGACAAATCGTTCGTGTTTTTATCGTTGATGATTCTCTTGAAATGAGAATACCAGGCCTACATGTGCGATGCACACTTTTGCTTCGTTTTGGGGGTAGACAAAGGGTCGGCGGGGAATTCACTTGATGATTTTACTTGGTTCTCTCAGTTGGCCGAAGAATCAACGTCGAGCACTTCACACACGCAAGAAGGTCACGTCAGACAGAACAGACAGACGGCCGCTCTTATGGGCATCCTGACATAATAAGTCCTTGTTGCTCGTGTTTGAAGAGCGTCCGAGTACGCGGGACTGTTTTCTTTTTCCCCAGTGATCCTCCATCTCTACGCTGTCGGTATTCCCCAGGGAGGAAGAGAAGATTCACGTGGTTCACATCTCACCCAATACATTTATTCCAGGGAGAGCTTCAAATTCGCCCGCCGCAACAATCACACTTAACCGACGAGTTTTCATCAACATCCTCGATGGACGGTGGACAAACACACCCAACGCCCAGAAAGAAGAACATGCGCTTGCGCTTGCATCACGGCATTTCTTCGGATGGATGCGTAATAAGGCCGTTCTGAAACCTCTTTCGGGGCTCGGGGCTGTAACATGACACTTCGTGTTCCAGGAGCAAGATAAAGTGGTGCGAATGAGGGAGGCTGGCCGTCAACAAACGGCTCTTTTCATCTTCGGTTTGACCACAAAAAGAAAAACACATCTGCTGTTAGCTTTTGACCACGACGGAGGGCGTCCCCGTCAGTTGGACCAGTACGGACATGCGAAGATACCTACCAACCGTGGGTTCCGCTGCCCTCTCCACGTAACCGATAACAGACGGGTTGCATGAATAGGGGGAGCCAAGAGGGGCCAGCGTAAGACTTCGACGTTGTACAACGCCATGCAGACCGGTCAATACGAGGGCGAAACAGAGACACACGGAGCAGTGCGTGAGCTTCCTTGCCAAGGGCATGTATGGTGAAGTTGACTAACAGGTCGGCATCTTCTCGTCTCGCACCCACACCTCGGGATACTGTAGCAAGAAAAACATCCAGCCAAAAACGCGAAAAGTCGGTGATGATTCCTTCGATGTTTTATCCACAATTAGTTAAATCCTGAGATGATCAATTTCCACACAATCCCTCCTCTTGGCGGAGCTCCGAACAACAACACTGGCAGTCGAACTCTGCGCCCCCCCCTACCCCCCTGTTATCGAAACAAACCATTCAACACAAAACACCACTTGAAAACGCTCTCGGGCTCCCGCCGAATTGCCCATTAACACCAAACGAACCAAAACCCAACGTATCGCCGTGCGATCGAACGGAGATCCTTTCATGCTAGCGATCGTGTACGCATACCATATGGGACAAGGGTGTGATGAAAAACGACATCCACGATATCGATACATTGATACAAAGTCAAGCGCAACACAGCAGCCAGCGGAAACATGTAGACTGGCTCGTGTACCTGGGCATGTTGCCCCGCGGCTGGCTACGAATTTCGAATTTCTCGCTTCCAAACCTCTGATCAGCCCGCATACACATACACCACGATTAGACATCCGGCAACTACAAACAAAGACATACACAAACGACAACACGAAGCTCCGAAACGCTTGGCACCAAAATCAGCAAGCATAACGAACTAAAACGACCTTTGCCTCCGCGTATCAAGTTCTCCTTCGGAACGCCGGGATCGGGCGGCAAACCGAAACTGACACATGTTTCCGTCAAATTGTCCCGTCGTCCACACACAAAACAACCAAACTACACCGAACAGCCGCATGTACTCGTGTGAACCCATAATAACATTAGACAAACTACTACTCGTAGAGTAAATACGTTTGGAACCGCTACCTGGCAGCAACGGACGGCATTTTTGGACATTCCCTCACTCCCGGTACTAAATACACGCGCAGCCTTACCGCGAGGTAAGCCGACAAGCCATCAATCAAAGCACAGGCCAACCGGATCTCAGCCACGAATCACTACTGTCGCTCCCGGTGCCGGTGTTGATTCCGGCTGTACAGCAGTAGTGGTTGCGGTGGGGGTAGCAGCCGGCGTGGGGGTGGCCGGCTTCTCGGGAATTTTGAGGCCCGTCTCCGGGGTGCGGTAGAATGCATCCTGTCATGCGGGGCGATGGGGGGGGAGATACAGAGAGAGAAAGCCAGCGAGAGAGAGAGAGAGAGAGAGAGAGAGAGAGAGAGAGAGAGAGAGAGAGAGAGAGAGAGAGCAGCGGCGGCGGTGTGATAGGCGGAGGACGTTACACGAGGTGGTTGGTTGAGAGCGATGCCGTCTGCGCAGCAAAACACGTTTTCGACAAACTTCAACACGCAACGGATATGTGCAAGGTATCGGCGACGTTGGAATAGCCAAAAAGAGCCAAGAAGAGAACTCCCATCGCGTGAACCGATTGACTCTACCACTACTCCACTGCTCTCTGACTTTGCCTCCCGACAGCCCGTGGATATGGATATGGGTGTCAGCTACAGGATAAGCGTTTGTCAGATGAGTTGCGTCTCATCAGACGGCGCCTGTTCATGGGTCGGGCGTGCTCGCGTGCGTATACACAATGTTTTCATCGGTTTTGCGCCGCCCAGGTTCTCCAAAGGAAAGACAGCAGTTGTGGCGGAATCTCCCGCACAACAAATCAAACAAAGACGTGCCTGGCTGTGGCGAAGTTGCGGCTACTTGCTTGCTGGTGCTTCGCCGAGGCTTTCGCTGACGGCCTGTCGAGTGAGTCCAACAGGCTCGTCGCGTGTGTGCTCCGTCACACGGATACAGACGTACTCGGTATTGTTTGCTCTATGTATTTGCTCGGGTATACTAGCGGGAAGTTACGCCACAGCAGTCGGTGTGGGCCAGGAACGCACACAGGGTGTGCCATGGACTTTTCTCCACAAACGGGAGGAGATGAAACCCTACCGACACGTGTAAGGACAGCTCTCGGCGAGGTGGTTCCATACCCAGCCCTCTGGGCATCGACAACGTCGTGCAACAGCCTCCCGGCTGCGAAGCAATTATTCGAGGCTGCAACATTCGATCACACGTACGTTCTTTCGATGACCTTGCTATTGTACATGTGTGTTGAACAAAGGGATCAACTCGACCAGCGGAGAAGGCATGGGCAGGAGAAGCCACACGGCAAACAAAAGCGCCCAAGTTGAGCGCACACCGACAAGAAAGCTACCGCAGTCCCTGGCTGCACGCGGCCTGAGTTCAGTTTTCATGAACTGCCGCAAAAGAAGTTTTTCGTTTGGGAAGGCGCAGATAGCACACAGCAGGACACCACCACGAACGATGCTCAATCAAATGCGGCACTCACGAATTGGACTTCCATGGTGTAAGTGTTGCGTCAACCTTTTCCTCTTCCGGTGTTCCTTCTGTGGGCGCGCTGCTGTTGGGCTGCTGCTGTTAGGAGGTGGAGACTCGTGTGGCTTGCTGGTTTTTGTGAGGCGGTTGTGTGTGTGAGCAGGGCGGGCGAGCTCGAGGGAGGGTCATTTCGGTGACGTCAGGGTCGAAAGAGGAGGAACTTTCCTGGAAGCATTTTCCTGGTGAAAATTTCAAAGTGCATCGTCGACGGACGTGATGAGTTCGAGAGGAAGTTCGAGACGGCAACACAACACGCGGTCGAGCGACAGGGAGATGTGTCATGAGGGGTCTGTTGAAAAGGTGCCGTTGAGGTGCGACAAACTGATGATGTACACTGCTTGCTCGGTGAAAAGCACTTCCCTAAAGAGTGTTCCCGCGGCCTGTTTCCCACGCCACGCGGAAAAATCTGGCCCTTTGCGTGGCGCGGTGAAAACATGATTATAATCCCGTCGACCGTTGGGCGACGGACGTTGTTTTGTGGCCAACTTGTCGCCAGGGCCGAGGAACTGCTGTGCTTCTGCTGCAATTGCTGCTGCATGTTACTTGCGCCAAGGGAAAACTCATTTTGCGCCAACTTTGAAGCTACCACTCCATTGCAAACCTTATATTAACCAGACAGACAACTCACACCTTTACACATGCTAACACACCCATCGGCGCGGAAGGAGGCCTTGGGAGCCATGAACAAAGAGCAAGCAAGCACACTAAAAGTCAGTGCTATAGCAGTAGCATCGCCAGAAGGCTGTCTGTTGACTGCATGATCCATGCAGCTGCTGTACAGCAGTCACAGCAGTAACAAAGTTTGGTTGAAAATATAAAAATATGTCCCAAACACCAAGCCTACATGTACGCATGTACGGAAGGAACCAAACATCAGCAAGGGGGTAGGCACCCCCCCGAAACGCATGTACGGGGCCACCGTGACTTGTTCCGGCGCCGAATTCGGGCGCCGGACTTGTTCTCATAATAATTTAACCGCACTCACCCACACACAGCACAGCAACCACGCACAGCGACCCACACAGCAATACTCAAGAGCGACAGGTTTCAGTTACACCGTGCGTCCACCGTACCTGGAAATTGAACGTGCGGTCGCGCGAGAGGGAGGGAGCTTCTGAAACTTTTGGTATGCATCACAATGATGTACAACCTTCGAGAACTCACATCACGCAGCTACTTATTATGTATCATGTTGCACGTGGCGCGGCCTTGCTGTTGAGTAGCTTTGTGCGTGGGTGCCTCGGCGCGGGGTCCCGTAGTGGGAAACAAAAGGTGCCAGCAGCTGGGTACTGCCAACGGTCAAAATGTAGAAACTATCCGCGGGCGTGAAAGCCCTTCTACGTGGTGGAGCGTGGAAGCTCGTGTATAATATAGTTGTGGCGTGGAAGCCGGGTGGCGTGGTGGCCCTGATGTAAAGGTATATTTAGGGACGTGGGAGTCCTGAAGGCGTGGAAGCCGGGTTGGCGTGATAGCCGGAGTATGGGCGTGGAAGCCGGGGTTGGCGTGAGAGCCGGAAAAAGGACTTGATTATACACAGAAAACGGAAGTGAGGAACCACAAGCCACGCACACAAATTCCGTTGTAGACACCCATACCCTCAAACCTGCAATATGTGATAAAGTTGGTACCACCAAATCTAATCCATAGCAACCATTGAACCCCCAAACTCCCCGCTCCATCTGCTCGGGAAATTCTTGCTCGCAATAATCTGTTGATGCTGTGAGTACATCCAACAGCCCCCCTACTCGCTGCATTGGCAAGATTACACCCGGACTCATTTAACTACCTTACACATGCATACCCTCTTATACCAAATACCTGAACGCAAGGCTTAGTGATTAACATTCCATCCATCTCATGCTTCGTCTTCGCCAAAACACCATGACCATTATACCCGAAACAAAACTCGTTAGAACTCCAACCGGTTTGAAACTCTTCTCCTAACCATTAAACCAGAAACACTGCAGAGATTATCCATCGGTCACCCTGGAATTCAACATCGTAGAAAATCCTCAGAAATAGCAATTCAATAGAATCGCACAAACGCAAAAAAACAAAAATAAAATAAAGACTCCAGGACTGCTCATTTAGAATTTCAATCGGATAGAAAGTATTCCCAACCAACCATTAAAACAGAAATACCAAATATAATGTCAATCGGCCATTCTTGAATTCAAACTCGTAGAAAATCAACTCCTCATATACTCAAATCGAAAGAATCACACAAACAAAAACACAACACAAAAAACTCCGGGACTGCTCAATTTAAGTTCATCACGTAGTCCCTGTGGAACACAAAATCCCTCTCAGGTAGCGCCTTCGTGAGGAAGTCAGCATGCTGGTACTGCGACGCTACATGAATGATCTCTACCTCCTTCTCATCTACCAGTTGTCTGAGGAAGTGATGCCGCACGTCGATGTGCTTCGAGTTGGAATTCGAGATCGGGTGTTTTGCGATCTGGATAGCACCCTCGTTATCCTCGTACAGTGGAATGCACGGCCGCAACTCCTTCGGCAACATAAAGCGCCAAACCTGCCTCAAAAAAAGAATCTCCTTCCCCATGTCCGCCATCGCCACGTACTCTGCCTGCGTGGTGGACAAAGTCACACACTTCTGAGTCTTGGAAAACCATGCTATCGCTCCCCCCGCACACATTACTACTCCCCCTGAAACCGACCTACGATCCGCCGCACGCGAGGCGTAATCCGCGTCGACGAACGTGATCAAAGAAAACCCTGAAATTGTCCCCTTCTGAAAAGAAATCCCGAAAGAACTAGTCCTAAATGCATATCCTAAGATGCCAAGTGCAGCCTTCCAGTGGATCAACTTGGGTGCACTACAGTACCTCGCTACTGCCCTCACCGCATTCGCGATATCCGGCCTAGTCAAAAAAACTATCCATAGCAACGAACCAATCAGCGCGCGAAATGGGTGCTCTACGCTCGGCTCATTCACATCAAAGTCCCAAAGTCTCCAAGTCGTGGGCAAAGGAATGCTTCCGCCCCACTCCACACCATATCTCTCTCCCAACTCCTTGGTGTATGTCTCCTGCGAAATCGTCAATCTACCTGCCTCTCTGTCCCTCTCGTAATAGCAACCAGAGTACCACTGCAACTCCCCCAGAGACTTCACCGGTACGTAATCGCCCAGGTCCTTCCCAAATTGATCACACCTCTCCTTCGTCCCCACTGCAAAAATATCATCTACGTGTACTACTAGAATCAACACTACTTCCCCCCCTTCGACTAAGCGAAAAACACATGAATCGGCCATGCACTGCTCGAAACCCAAAGCCAAAAGACACTTCTTCAGCAACGCGTACCACTCCCTAGATGCCTGCCTCAAACCGTAAAGGCTCTTGTTCAACTGCACAATCTTCCCCGACAACGCACCACATCCTTCCGGCAATCGCATGAAAATGTCTTCCTTGAG